GTTACATTATGATTATATATTCAGTGGCATAAAATGGTCTTTAAAATGACAATAATATCGCTTATCGCAATTATTTGTGGGGCAGTATATCACACAGCAAAAAGTTGTTATCGTGACAGGCCTAAATTTGCACCTTTTCAAATTGATTTAATACCAGAGACAGACTGAAATTAGTATATTTTAGAGGCCTTGTACTATGGTTAAAAAAGTTTGCTTTTTGATATTAAATAGTTAATAGTTTGTCTAAATGTGGCTTAATTGCAATGAGGAGAATATTACCAATGTATGCAAGTGTCTGGTATTCCTTTTTTACTGGCCGTTGGCTTGAATGTTGCTCTGGCTGAAAAGTTTGAATAAATGATGAAGGGGATGTTGTTTCACAGACACAAAGGCACAGTCTGACTTAGGTCTAGGATGACTGAAGACAACAGTCTTAGAAGTACTATGCAGTGCAGTGTGCAGAAAATCAATCAGGCCTGCATACTGTCTGTTCATTTATTCTTAGGTTAAAAATGGACTTGCATGTGTTGAAAACATTTTGTGTAATTGATTACTGATTGTGTGCCTGCTTAGTATGTATTGCTTGATGAAAATGTTCTGTACTAGAAGTGATTAAATCGCTTCTAGTAAAGAAATGCTACATGATGTTTTCCACTGATTCAGGAAGAAAGGAAAAGAAGTCAGCAAAACCAGGGATTTAGGCAGGGGGAAAGACTATATCCTGTCCATCAATTCAACACTAAAGTAATGCTTTGTCATGGACTACACTTTATTGCAAAATAACTACTGTTCCTTGACCATCTACATTTATGAATTTGGCCAATAATTTTATCCAAAGCAACTTACATTGGATTTAAGTTTTTTTTCAGTTCATGCATTCCCTGGGAATCGAACCCACGGTCTTCTCTTGTTAGCAGCATGCTCTACTGTTTGAACTACAGAAAGGCTAAACAGCCTTTGTGTAATGTATTTTCGCTCAGTAACTGTACTGAGGGTGATTCATACAGATGGATTGTATGTGATGCATGAAAAATTGATTGGACACTGACTTTTTTAACACATCCATGTTCTTCTTTCTTTTATCTTGGCAGGTGGAGAATTGAATGGAGATCTGCATGGGGTAAGTTTTCCATTAAAATCAGAACACAATGTGTTAATATTATTACTTATTACATTGGAGTATTTTTTTAGTTAGTTTTCTCTTTTGCATGTAGTACAGCCACATTTACACCGCAAAGACTGTTGTGTGTTGATGCACATGCACAGATTACATTTACTCATTTACCGTAAACTTTGTAACACGTGTTACACGTTTATTTGTACATGTCAATCCTCATTGCATTATATATATATTTTTTAAATGGCAGTGTGTTTAAATGTCATGTCATTGGGAGATTTGCATTACAAGCTATCAGAATTTCATCTTTTTATGTGAATAACAGCAACTGTACTAAAGTGCATATTTTAAATAAAACTGAGGTGTTTTTTCTTCCTCAAGCATGAGCTCTATTTTCTCGATGTATCATACTCTATAGGCCATTAAACCAGTTGTATCAAATATGGTGCAATTCATAAAACGCATATGCAGACTTTAAAAAAAGATAAACTGTTCCATTTGAAAATGGATTTTTATGATTTCATATGCCAGGCTTTACAGGGTTAACTTTGCCTTTGAGCAGAGTAGTGAATGCCCAATGTTAATAGTCACTCACATTTTAACAAGTCAGTTTTATATTTACAATTTAAATAAACTTATTAATTAAAATAATTGACAAATCACTGATCCAAATGAGTTGATGCTCTTAAGAAGTGCATAAAGTGGCATACTGGGACTGTATGGTTTGGACTCCTAATTTTTGCTTTGTGTCCTGTAGGAGAGTAACGGTCCTTCAGACGCGTATGTGGCCATCTCCAATGCTGATCGGTTGCAGGCGGAGCCGGAGAGCTTGAGGAAGTGGAGAGAAGAGCAGAGCGAGAGGCTGGAACAGCTCGGTAACTTGAGCATAGTCATAGATGTTCTCCTTAAGATATATTAAAACTATAAAGTTCATTTAGGGTTGAGAGGTTCACCTTTGCTGTTTTTCAGATGCTAACTCCCGTAAGCAGGAGGTAGAGTGGAAGGAGAAAGCGAAGCTGGAGCTGGAGGAGTGGCACACCAGGCAGAACGAGCAGCTGGAGAAGACCAAAGTCAACAACAGGTACACAACACTATTCGAGCAGCTGAAATCTATAAGAGGCCTAGTTTCTGTTTCTTGCTGTTTGATAACAAAAGCACTAGAGAGTGCATGGCTCTGTTGTATTCTGGCTCAGGGTTTTTTTTTTTTTTTTTTTAAAGGAATAGTTAACCCAAAAATGAAAATTAGCTGAAAATGTTTCACCCTAAGGCCATCCAATATGTAGATGAATTTGGTTCTTCATCAGAACTGGTATGGAGGAATTTAGCTTTACGTCACTTGCTCACCAATGGATCCTCTGCAGTGAATGGGTGCTGTCAGAATGAGAGTCCGATGATGAAAACCTCAAAATAATCCACACAACTCCAGTCCATCATTTAACGTCTTGTGAAGCAAGCAAAGCTGTTTATCCATCAATTCAAGCATATGAACTTTAAACTTGCTGCTTCTGGCCAAAATCCATTATCCACTCAAAATATAGTCCACTCAAAAAAGAAACGTTTAATATACACAGCCTGATGTGTCTGTGTAGTTACTGACTATACTATAGTGAGTAACTCAAACATTAGCCCATAACATGAGCGAGTAAATGATTCAGGATCATTTTTGAGTAAACTATTCCTATTATTTAGACTAATGGCAACTATTTTATGACGTTGTGACTCTAATGATATGAGAGGACACAGTGAAAAAGCTATCTGAGCTTGTTGAATGGTCATGTGATCGTGCCCTTGGACACTTCTGCAGTGTTTTGGTCACATGATCATGCCTGGTCCAATCCGAAGCAGTTACTATATCTATGATTGCCACAAAATGTTGTATTCAGCTATTAGAATGGAAGAAGGAGCTCTATGAGAAGCTCTTTCTGCTTCAGGGAAGCATTTTAAATAAATGTATCAATAGACGTGCTGAATAGCATTCATTCCACTGTATTGTATTAAAAAGTAAGTGATATTGGGTCAAAAGTTAAATTTCCTATTTTAAATTCAAGTGCATGTTTTGGCACAAATAAAAATGACAAGTCTCCTTAAATCTCTCTCTGAATATGTTCAATTCCTCTGAATGTGAAATTGTTGGCTTAATTTCCTTGTCTCTATATGTCATGTTTGTCTCTGTTTTTTTCTCTTGTGTGCCGTGTTGTCTACTTTTATGTACTTGGCCTGGTCTTAACACTGCAGTGTTTTGGCTCTGTATGAGTGTTATTTTTCTCCTTTTTACCACTCTCTCTGTTCTCTCCTGCTTCGCTGCTCTCCTCTGGGACTCCCAGGGTGCTGGATGAGGATTTCTACAAACAACCCTTCGCTGATCTGATTGGTTATGTGTATGTTGCTAAACTAACATCCTTTCTTTTCACATGCATCTCCCAATAACTCATTTTCCTGCATCTCATCTTTTTTCATCACCTGTTACTCTTACACATTTCTAACCAAACTTTTGGTTAACTTCATATTTAAAACCAGGGCGTTATTTATTTTTTATTTTTTTCCAAGACTAATTGGACAAATAATTCTGCACACTATGCATGTTGTCCATTTTTTTCACCCTTCCCCCATGTTTAAGTTACATAGCAGATTGTATGTCCGTCTTGCCCATTCATTCATTTCTCATTTGTCATTTTTTGTTGTTAGTAGTACTTTTCATGGTAATTTACAAAATGTTTAACCATTTTTGTCATGTTTGTGTCATGCATTTGTCACAATGTCTGCATTTTGTTGACATTTTAAGATATGTCTTAACATTTGTATAAATTGTGAGATTAGTCAATGTTATTTATTGTCTAACATTAATATGAATTGAGATTGATTATACTAGTTCTATTTAGTGCAGTAGTAGCGTCTCTGTAATATAGCACTAGTAAATTTCTAAGCAACTGTGTCTAGCTGATAAAGCCAGCCAATGAATAAACCAGCCAGTAGTACAAATGCTGAAAATATATTTTTTTATGTGTTGTCAAAGTTGACAGGATACATCTTTTGCTTTTTTTAGTTTTGTTCGTTTTTAAATGTCAGCTTATTCTTAAAGGTGCACTAGGCCATTTATTTTCTTTTAATGTAGTTCATAGAAAATGGTGGGTTATTATTACATTTTTAATTAATATTATTATTAAAAAATATTATTTTAAATTATTATTATTATTATTATTATTATTATTATTTATTTATTTTTAAATATCACATTATCTGTTGGCAGGACTGTTGATTTGATTTTACTGACTTTGACCACCAATCTTTAATCTTTGTACTTAAAAATTTATTTTTTATTTTTTATATATAAATCAAGAATGTGCACCTTTATTCCATGGCTTGTACTTCAGCCGGACACCTAGTTGCTTCTGTTAGATGGAATATTTTAGAGTACGGTGTGCCTAGGTTGAGCAAAGCTGTCCCAGGCTAGAACTTTAACAGTCCTCTTAGTTCTGCAGCCCTCATGTTCATCATGGACCTCTTACTGCTTCTGCCTATTCTGCAGAGCTATTGTAAACATTAGCTGCTTTTATTTTGCTTGGTAAATGTCTCAACTGAGGTGCCAGTTGAGATCACTGAACGCCGCGAGTGGCGCTTACATCAATGACGGCTGCAAGCTAAGCGCACCTAGAAACACTCCTAAGATGACTTGGGTTTTGAACAGTGCATGCCTGCTTTGGTCATCTGCATAAATCTCATTTCTTTTGGTTTTCTATATATCTGACTTGTGATCTGTTTCTCCTTGTTTTTCTTTTCTCTATGCACCTTTAAGCACTCACATTAACCATCCTTGCTACCGCCTAGACCAGTTAAGTAAAAATAAATAAATAAATAAGAGGAGAAAAAAAAAAGGAAAAATAAAGACAAGAAAACCAAATATGTTCAGGGAACAAACACCACTTATTGCAAATTTATACACCAATGAATTGCTGTCTTTATTATCAACATGTTTCTGGTAAAATTTAAGATTCTGGATGTCCTTTTGTGGTTATGTGTTGGTGCACTAGTCCTGTGCGTTGATGTAGTTGATTGTGACCGTGATTTACCTCATTGGCTTTTCATACCCATTTTGCTGTGTATATTGTGTGATAGTGGAGAGGCTAATGCAACTCTACTGGACTGAGTCCACAGCAGCGGAAAGGGTTGGTAACGGGCCGGGAGGAAACGGGAATAGGCAAATATGGTCTCCAAAAGCTCTCCGAAGATTTTTACGTTCAGAGCTCTTTAGTGTTTGGCTTGCCAGAAACTTGGTTTAGTTCCCCCATGCTCAGCAGAAGGCCTTGCTTTTGGTCACTGCCAACGCATGGCACTTTCAGCCTTTGCACAAAGATTTAGTGGTTAAAATACGCTAATTGGCCTGTCAATCGCTACGTTGAAGCCAGGCTCATTAGCGTACACGATTCCTTGACATTCCTCCTACCGTCAAGAAATGAGGAATGTCCCACAATATAAGGACTTTCAAAGTACAACAAATTGTTTTAACCAACTGAATCGCTGCAAAATTTCATTGTGGCTGTTCTGGAACCTTTTCCTGCCTTCAGGATCAAGACTAGTTCTGGTAATGGTGGGTTGGGGGCATGATGCTCAAACTACCATCTGTTTTGGATGTGGTCACCTGAAGAATGTCTCTTAGAAACACTCCTAAGATGACTTGGGTTTTGAACAGTGCATGCCTGCTTTGGTCATCTGCATAAATCTCATTTCTTTTGGTTTTCTATATATCTGACTTGTGATCTGTTTCTCCTTGTTTTTCTTTTCTCTATGCACCTTTAAGCACTCACATTAACCATCCTTGCTACCGCCTAGACCAGTTAAGTAAAAATAAATAAATAAAAAGAGGAGAAAAAAAAAAAGGAAAAATAAAGACAAGAAAACCAAATATGTTCAGGGAACAAACACCACTTATTGCAAATTTATACACCAATGAATTGCTGTCTTTATTATCAACATGTTTCTGGTAAAATTTAAGATTCTGGATGTCCTTTTGTGGTTATGTGTTGGTGCACTAGTCCTGTGCGTTGATGTAGTTGATTGTGACCGTGATTTACCTCATTGGCTTTTCATACCCATTTTGCTGTGTATATTGTGTGATAGTGGAGAGGCTAATGCAACTCTACTGGACTGAGTACACGGCAGCGGAAAGGGTTGGTAACGGGCCGGGAGGAAACGGGAATAGGCAAATATGGTCTCCAAAAGCTCTCCGAAGATTTTTACGTTCAGAGCTCTTTAGTGTTTGGCTTGCCAGAAACTTGGTTTAGTTCCCCCATGCTCAGCAGAAGGCCTTGCTTTTGGTCACTGCCAACGCATGGCACTTTCAGCCTTTGCACAAAGATTTAGTGGTTAAAATAAGCTAATTGGCCTGTCAGTCGCTGCATTGAAGGCTCATTAGCGTACGTGATTCCTTGACATTCCTCTGACCGTCAAGAGATGAGGAATGTCTCATAATACAAGGACTTTCAAAGTACCACAAATTGTTTTAACCAACTGAATCGCAGCAAAATTTGATTGTGGCTGTTTTGGAACCTTTTCCTGCCTTCAAGATCAAGACTAGTTCTGGTAATGGTGGGTTGGGGGCATGATGCTCAAACTACCATCTGTTTTGGATGTGGTCACCTGAAGAATGTCTCTCTATGAATGTATTCTTGTTGGATGGAAATAAAAATTGAGTTTCACCCAGGCGCAGAGCTGCTTTGGTACACTTGCCTCTAACCTCCTAAAAAAAGAATCTCATGAAACATTTCAACCAATTTTTGAAGCTCCTTTTGGTAAACAATTTCAAAACCCGTGTCGAGTTTGCTGGAAATTCGATTTGTCGATCATGTTAAGATGTGAATGTTTAGTTTTTTTTAGCATGAAGGAGGTCAGCGGTTGTGTGCATAAGCGGGTCGTGTCTGAGAGTGTTCCTGGTTTCTGTCTGAAGCTGATTGTGATTTCTCGTCGGCAGGGCGGCTGAGGAAGCCATGGTGTCGGAGCTGGACATGAACAGTCCTGGCACAGAATGGGAGCGTGTGGCGCGCCTTTGTGATTTCAACCCCAAGTCCAGCAAGCAGGCCAAGGACGTCTCCCGCATGCGTTCAGTCCTCATCTCCCTTAAACAGGCCCCGCTTGTCCGCTAAGCTCTGCCTCTGGAGCCCTCAAAACTACAAATCCCAGCAGCCATTGGGTCTCACGACATTGATCTATTCCTTTGTGGTCCCATCCCAATGGCTTTGAGCTCAATTTTCGTATATAAATAATCTATATTATATTATTACTTATGATATGGGTATATCTATATATGCATAAGTATATATATATTCCATCTATAAATACATACATATATATAACGATGTTTAGATTTGTTTTTATTTTTGGTGTCTATTTTAAGGACCAAACTCCATGTTCATTTTTCCATGTAGAGACAGTGTGTGGCATTGTGACACTATCAAACTATGCATTTCCCTCCTAAGCTGTTCGGGAATACAGTACTAAACGTCTTGTGTATGTTGTATACAGATAGTGGATATTAGCTTGTGTGTGTAAAACTATGTACATAAAGACTGGTCCTCTACACTTCATTGTGAGATGATGGCACAAGTTGTTGAAGAACAGAGCTGTACCCCAGTGAATGTCGCCTCATGTTGTCCATCTTGTTTCAGTTTGATTAAACACATTTGAAATGTTAGAGTTTGAGACTCACTACCACTTAATTGTTTGCATTGTTTGGGAAAAGAAAAATTACATTTTTTTTTTTACGTTACCTAAAAGTTTCCCTAGAAGTGTGCAAATTTTAGTTTTATTAAATCTCAATTTACACAATTTTAGATGCCTATAATTATCAGTTTAAAAATGCAATATCGAAATACTTTTTGAAGGGACAAATAGTAAATATTTGTGTATGTGTGTAAAAAATGGGAAATACTATTTGTACATGTAAGAACTAACGTTGAAATATTGAAACGTAATCCAGGTTTGGAGTGGGTTACTCTTATACCATGGGTTTACATTAGGTTTTTGAACTTAAAATACACAGACATTGAGATGCTAAGCCATTATAATGTTTCTTATATGCGAAGTTATCATGGGTAATATTCCAGTATGAATCATAATTCATCCCAATTCTCAGATTTTTTCCCTACACTAACTCATGAGAACCTTTCTCGTTGACTTCTTACTCAACGGTGGCAGAAACGGCCTTCCATGATTTTAAAAATATTTTAGCGCTCAACAATTAGAAAAATGTAAATTCATTTCCATGACTTTTCCGTGTCTAGCAATCACTTATAAAATTAGGCTTCCTGAGGCATCCAGGTTTTTCTAAACTCTGGGAACCCTGGTTCTTCAAGAACGAAATACAAAAAAATGTTGTGGCAAAGAATTCAAGCAAGACATCTTGATTTTGCTTTGATAGACTGCAAGTGCCTTTATATTACAGTTCCACTTTGCTGCGCTGTGAATGTACTGAAAAACTCCACACCTTAAAATGTCTGTGAACCAATCAGAATCAAACATACAACACCCCTTTGGCATAAATCAGTGGTTCCCAACCCTGGTCCTGGAGGCACCCCAACACTGCACATTTTGCATGTCTCCTT